TCCCTTGAATATCGGATGCTTGTGTGCCTTGAACTTTTGGAGGTTACTCGTGCCTCCTTGCCCCACATATGCACTAGCCTGTGCAATGACAGCCGCCACAGTACCAATAGCCTCTATGAAGGCCTATTGGTCTAAGGCTGGTGGTGGCTGGTTGTTGTTCCGCCGACCGCCTCGGCGTCCTCTTCCTTTACTAGTCATCTGCACACATGTCAGATAGCAATAGAGAACCAATTTAGTATCCCAAAGTAGAGACCAACTTTGAAATCTGGAATTTATCTCCTTGTCTCCCTAGTAGAGCTTATGCCACTCACTAGTAGACTTTTACACCTTGAACTATCCCGTTCCCTTGTTTTCCAGCTCCAAGGTTATGTTTTCTAATTCTAGTGTCACTTTTTTTCATATACATTTTACCATGTATATTTTTCACATAATACATATCACATAACATGTAGCATGTAGCATTTAAGCACATAATCATGAATGCACAATGCATGCAATGGTCTAAACCCATGCCCAATAGCCCTAGGTAAATCGTATACCAATGCTCTAATATCAAGCTGTAACGCCCTAAAATTCGGGGGTCCTTTGTTAACCCGTTGATCACCCATCAAGCTGCGAAATTACCCGTGATTGTTGCATATTTCGACATCACGTTTATCACATCCTTGTAACCGGGATTACAACCCACATGAGTATTGTGTTTTGTTTAATCATTTAATCCCATCGAGGTTCATTATACCCCAATGTATCTCATTTAAAGTCCATTTGTGTCAATAGAACCAAAGAACACATAGCCCAAAAGCATGACAATGCATTCTTAAAATTTCAGATTTTTGGAAAACCTTCCGGAAGGTTTTACTCGACCTTCAGGAAGGTTTTACTTACTGGAAAAGTTCCCTTTAGAGGTTTTTCATCTACCTTCTGAAAGGTTTCCTCAACCTTCCAGAAGATTTAGCATACTAGAATCCTATATTGAAGAAAGATGTGTCAACCTTTTGGAAGTTGTGTTCAAACCTTTCGGAAGAAATTGCACACTGGATTCCTTAATTTTAGAAGAATGTGAAGACCTTCCGGAAGGTTTCACCCACTATTCGACAATTTCCCTTGTCTTTCCAAACCTTCCGGAAGGTTTTGTTTAGACCTTCCGAAAGGTTTTACTCAGAATTTTCTGTTTCACCTATTTTTCATTTCTAATTCATTCCAAACCTTTCCACAAACATCCCAACACATGTAAAGTATTGTTTTTCACATAAGACTTGATACATACCAGTTCTATTACAATTAATTTCGTATGATTACAAGCCCATTTACACAATTACATGCTCAAAATGGAAATTTACAAAAGTTTTACAAAAACTTGCTTTCAAAAGCCACAAACAGGCTTTTCATCATCATTGAGGCCCTGAATGTGAGTCCTCCACTGGTACGAATCCCGCACCTGAAATATTTCCCGTATAGGGTGAGCCAACGCCAAGTAGAATATTTCCTACAGAGGCTACTCCCCAACCTAAGTGCATATGCAATGTTCACATGCAACATTTAACAACAACAATCATTCCAACCAACACTTAAGCAAGTCAAGGTTGGAATCTAACATACCATGCCATGAATTGGGATGATGCCCATTCATGCAATTTACCCGAGCCCTTCCCGACTCCACAACATATGCAAAGCCTATGTGTATAAGACCGAGCTTTTCTAGCTCCAGCCATTTACCTTCCCCCATACTATGCCATGAGTGTTAAAACAGGGCTTTCCACGCCCCCGCCATTGGTGTTACACGCCCAATGACTACTTAAAACCTCTGGGTCTTTCTTGGGGTGGGTATTTATGTACTTACACCAACGGTTACCAAATTGACATGGAATTCATGGACTTNTCAATGACTACTTAAAACCTCTAGGTCTTTCTTGGGGTGGGTATTTATGTACTTACACCAACGGTTACCAAATTGACATGGAATTCATGGACTTCCACCAACGGTTTCACGTACACCGACACACTTTATGGGCTCTTATACCAACAAAAGTGCATATCTGAACACAGGGCCTCTTACCCGAGGGATAGTCTAGCCCTTCTTGCTAACCCCGACCCAATTCTTTTTCATGCAACTGTGCGACTCAGCTGGATATTCAATTCAACTCTCGAGCCCACCTATCATCCACCTACGTGGTGTTTGATGCCAACCATGCACCCACACTCATAAAATGCAATGTCTCCGTGCATATGCTATGTAATGCACCATTGCTATTTTTATATCATGGCACATGTAATGAATGCCATATGTGCAACTTTAACAACATGTATACATATATCATGCAAATTATCACCAATTTCATCTCGATGTTAACATATCAATGAGCATACGTTAACACTTCATTTCCAACAATAACTCACAAGCATGTTATTTCCTCATATATATCCCAATAACATGCTTTGTTCATGAAGGCATAATTAAAACACATAGCATGCCCACATAATACCGAGTTCCATGGAATTACAAGTAATTACCACATACTAATTTCAAGCTAGGAATTTAATTTAAATTAGGTCAATTTCCCATACCTAATTCACCAAATCAATCGATTCTTTCAACTCCACATCCATAGGCAAGTGATATATATCTTTATTAACCTACCCATTACATAAAACACTCTAAGTTGTAAAATAAACTCGAGTAGGAAGGAACCCTACCTCTTCAAGCGTGAAATCAATTTCAAGAACCTCCAAGAATTTAGCCTGAGCTCTAAACCAAGCACCTCCAAAATCTTGTCTTTCGAGCTTTCGGTGAAAATCCTCGTTTTTGGTACATAGGCGTAGCCCTCGATGAGGAGACCGACTTTAACTCTTGGCCCGAGTAGATTTGAGCACTCAAGCTTCCTAGATCGTAGAGAGAAGGTGGAGAACTCAAGCCCTTTTCCCTCTCTTCTTTTCTCACGTTGAAACCAGCTGATTTTTTCCCTATTTATACTCTTAGAATATACGACCTTTTTTTTCTCGGGTCCGTTTTCGTTCCGAAACGATTAAATTTCGTTTCGATTTAAGTTCAAATTATTTTCATTATAATTTGCTTGAAATTTTTTTTCAAATCTTAAAATTTTATTAAAAATTTTATTTTTGGGTCACCCGAGACTCACTATCTCGTAAAACGTGAAAATCTGAATACTCGGAATTCGTTGAAATTTGATGGGGTAACTAAATTTTACAAGACGAATCCAACGGTGAGGTCCATTTCGTCATCCGAATTCTAAAAAATTTCAGGTTTTTAACCCGTACTGTAGTGACAATTTACCGTTTTGCCCTTTTTATAAAAATTTTAAATTTATCCGGGTTTTACAATAGGAATATTGTATATAAGTTGAATTGATCAAGAGAGATAATAGTTTAGAAGGTAAATTGGAAATATTATGAAATGTTCTTGGAATTGAATGAATCCACGGAGATGAATAATTGCAAGAAAACATGTAAATTTCATTATGTTATAGGAAATTATACAAATTCAAGTACTCTTTTGTGAAGTTTATAATCTTATGAGGAAAGGTTTAATTTGGGTATAATGGGTTCAAATAAATATTTCCTTCATGAATTCGAGAAGATTAGCTCAACTCGATTCGAATAAGTAATTTTACTCAATGTAATGGGTTAAACCACTTGACTCGAATTGATTATTAAACTACTAGTTTAATCAGTTCGAGTAGATATATGTTATTCGATGAAAATGACTTATTCGATTCAACATGATATAATTACGAAACTCGCGTCGAATAAATTATTTTGAACTTAAGCATTGTTATGTATTAACGCTCGAATGGAATTATGAATTTTGGGTATGTCAAGTCCGGAGACGAATACTGCTAAGAACACCCCACTAAATGCTCTAGCGGAGGGGTCATCCACGAGGTAGAATTCCACACGAGGTAGGTGCGCTAACCTACATTTTCTTTATGCGTAAATAATTAAGTATTGTTTGACAACCACTACAACAAAAATCTTTTTTTGCGACGTTTTTTTTTAGACGAATTTTAATTTGTTGCAAAAAAGTATATTATCCGCAACGTTATAATATTTTTGTCGCCAAAAGTAATTTTTGGGAATTTTTTTGCGACGTTTTTTAAAATCGTCGCAAAAAGGTGATTCGATTCAGATTGTTTTTGGCGCGAAAAATGGTGGAAAATTAAGATTTTTTACGACAAAAAAGTATTGACTTAAAATGTTTTTTTGCAACATTTTTCACAGAAGATAAATTTTCATTATTAAAGTTAAATGAAATAATAATTTCAATTGGCGACGTTTTTTTTAATTCGTCGCAGAATGTAAATTTATTAATTTTAAATTTGACTTAAAATATTTTTTTGCGGAAGATAAATTTTCATTATTAAAGTTAAATGAAATAATAATTTCAATTGGCGACGTTTTTTTTAATTCGTCGCAGAATATAAATTTATTAATTTTAAATTAGACTTAAAATATTTTTTTGCGACGTTCGGAAGATAAATTTTCATTATTAAAGTTAAATGAAATAATAATGTCAATTGGCGACATTTTTTTTAATTCGTCGCAGAATATAAATTTATTAATTTTAAATTAAACTTAAAATATTTTTTTGCGACGTTTAAACGTCGCGGAAGATAAATTTTCATTATTAAAGTTAAATGAAATAATAATGTCAATTTGTGACGTTTTTAGAAATTTGTCGTAGAATGTAAATTTATTAATTTTAAATTAAACTTAAAATGTTTTTTGCGACGTTAAAAAACGTCGCCAAAAAGTCATATTCTTTTAACATTTATTGGCGCGATGAATGGCGGGAATTGATGATTAGAAATTTTAAATTAGACCTTCAAAGTTTTTAACGACATTTCTAAAAACGTCGCAGAATATAAATTTTTCCTATCTGACTGTCTATTTCCCATAACATGTTTTTCGCTCAATAAGTGTAGCTAGCCCAGATAAATCCCTCACGCCAGTCTCCGCCTCTCTCTGCCTTTCTCTGGCTCTTCATGGATTATCCACAAAACCCCATTGATCTCTGCCTCTCTGTACCTCAAAACTCCATCGAAGCTTTAGATTTGCTCAAAGCTTCAGGTATTCTGCCTCTCTTTGCCAGACTCAAACCATCTAAGCTTCAGACCATCGTTCGCTGCTTTAGACCATCGTTTGCTGGTTCAGGTATTCTCATTTCACCTAAACCCCTCCCCTTAACTAAGTTTCTTATCGATATGCGAAGGTAAAACCCTAAAGCTTCAAATTTGTTTCTTTATGGTTTCAATTGTGTCATAGTTCTTGTTTTTTGATTGATTGAATCTCTGTTTGTGGATTTATATAAATTTTTGTTCTTGTTTTTCCAAATATTTTTTGGTAATTAGATGTGTTCTTATATTGAAATCAGTTGGTGGATATTGAAATTTTTTTCCTTTGAGCCTACATTTTGGTAATAATGGTTGATTCTAACATTGATTCTCAAATCTCTCAAGATTTGATCACTCCTCTCAATACCCATTTCGCTTCTCACTCCAAATCCTCCGCCATGGAACCACCACAACCACCACCACCAAAATCCTACTGGCGATTCAGCAAACAAGACTTTTTCCCAGCACCCTCCTTCCAAAAGCTCTCCACAATGATGTTGGCCCAACTATAGTTCTTTCTTATGCCACTTCAGGCCTCTCTACGTTGCTATCAGTATTTTGTTACACTGAATTTGCTGTGGAAATACCTATGGCAGATGGGTCTTTCTCATTTCTTTGAATCGAGTTGAGTGATTTTCTTGTTTTTATAGCTACAGGTAATATTTTACTAGAGGCCGTTGTTGGTGCTGCTGGGTTAGGGCATTCATGGTCTNCACCGTCTCCAATTAATGACTTATGATATCACGTTTCCTCATTTCTCGGGATTTTAAGAGTCCTATTTCTCTAACCACTCTATTTATCTTGGATTCTCACAAATTCTTTTATAACCATTGAATCTCTCCCACGTGTCACCCTCTGATTTTACTTCTTTTGAGCGTAAACAGTTCCTAGAAGATGTTTCACTGAAATATATAGACCACAGGGTTTCAACCGTTCACACGTCTTAAAAACCAGCATCGAAACAATTCAAGGCTTGCCATTTCTAAGTCTAAGTTGTTGACGAATGGAGCAAGCATTCTTATGAAACCAGTATAGTTTGGTTAGCTTTGCACGGATGCTTAATGAACGAGTCAAAAAGGCTTTAAAGCCAATGGGATCGCTATTCGTGACCAAGAATCGTATTCCATGACTTTGCAAAGGTTAAATATCTTATTAGCACCGACTTGACCAAATTAATTTGAAAATATTTTGCTTGGATGTTTGGTAATCAATCCCAAATCATATATAACCTCCATTATTGTTACAACATTATTGTATTACACTTTTGTATATGTTAGTGTTAAACGTATTTCAGATTGCGGGCATGTCAAAGTTCTGATGAACTTAATTTTCAATCACTCATGGCCTTATCTATTCGAACCAGTGTAAGATTCTGAATTTTGATTGTTCAAACTATTGAAACGATTCAAAAGGTTACTTCTAGATTTTTTTTTTTCTGCATCGGAGATCAAGGACTTCAACTATTTTCTTAAGGAGCATGTTAATACACAAGGAATTGAAAATAAACTAGAATGACATGAACAATAAAATGAAACATACTTTTAAAACCTAGCCCGAACTTCAATCCGGTAAAGGGACCGTGTCAATGAGTCTCGTGTTCAACTGTAAAACTGATCATATAATTAATATCACAAAATAATTATTTGCTTATACTTGACTAAATTTTTTTTAATTTGCTTACACAATTGATATAAGTTGATAGGGCCTAAAATAATTCACTAATAAGTATTGAATAGTTGGTATAAATAATAACAATAAAGCTAAAAAATATACTACAATATATTTTTTTAAAAAAAGAATAAAGACAACTTATACACGGCATGCTATCCCACGTCGGAAACCCGAGAAAGAGGAGAGGACTACGTGCCTTATAAATGGACAGTTCGTTTGTTTAAATTAGTAGTGTCTTGCTTGGTCGTTTTGGACAAGCCAAGGCCAGGTAGCTGAGTTTAAAATTTTAAATAACACATATAAGATGAAGATAGAAGTTGACCGGTCCGGATATGTGAAAACTGTTCTTTTTATAATGGGTTTTGTGATAATAGTGTGGATTGAACGATTTTTTTAGTTGGTCATTTGTATGAACAATCTAATTTTAAAATCAGTTTAGTTTAGGTACCGATTCGACAGTTGTCCGGATTAACTCATCGGGTCTAATCGAGTTTTAAAACACTGAAATGAATAACTAAATGGAACTATTGCATTAGCAGCTGTCCTTGGAATAAAATGAAACAGAAAAATAGCTACAGCAGTGATGACAAAAGATATTACAGAGTGGTGCAAAAATAAAATATTATAAACTNACGTTGCTATCAGTATTTTGTTACACTGAATTTGCTGTGGAAATACCTATGGCAGATGGGTCTTTCTCATTTCTTTGAATCGAGTTGAGTGATTTTCTTGTTTTTATAGCTACAGGTAATATTTTACTAGAGGCCGTTGTTGGTGCTGCTGGGTTAGGGCATTCATGGTCTTCTTATTTTGCTAGTATGATAAAATCTGATGCGAATTTTCTTAGAATTCGAGTGAACTCCTTTGCTGAAGGTTTTAATTTATTGGACCCAATTGTGGTTGTGGTTTTAGCGATTGATAACACTATAGCTATGAGTGGGACACACAGGACATCTTGCTTGAATTGGGTTGCATCTATTTTCAGTGTTGGGGTCATAGTTTTCATTATAATTGTTGGATTTATGATTGGTTGCTTAGCTTGAACTAAGTATGTGGAAAGAATTAGTTGATTCTACTGTTAGTCTTCTGGATGTTTCTAAATTTTTGGACAACTATGGGCATTGGGTTAAATTGTTTTGTTCCTGTTGGTATGATATTGAATTGGGTTTTATTGAATTGCATTGGGTTTAATTGAATTGCCTTTGCATTGGGGGCTGAACTATGGAAAGTTTGATAACTGATATTGAGGAGATCCAAATCCTTATCTTTATAACCTTTATGGCCTACTAAAACACATTCCTTTATGTGAAGACTCCAAACCATTNTCAACTATTTTCTTAAGGAGCATGTTAATACACAAGGAATTGAAAATAAACTAGAATGACATGAACAATAAAATGAAACATACTTTTAAAACCTAGCCCGAACTTCAATCCGGTAAAGGGACCGTGTCAATGAGTCTCGTGTTCAACTGTAAAACTGATCATATAATTAATATCACAAAATAATTATTTGCTTATACTTGACTAAATTTTTTTTAATTTGCTTACACAATTGATATAAGTTGATAGGGCCTAAAATAATTCACTAATAAGTATTGAATAGTTGGTATAAATAATAACAATAAAGCTAAAAAATATACTACAATATATTTTTTTAAAAAAAGAATAAAGACAACTTATACACGGCATGCTATCCCACGTCGGAAACCCGAGAAAGAGGAGAGGACTACGTGCCTTATAAATGGACAGTTCGTTTGTTTAAATTAGTAGTGTCTTGCTTGGTCGTTTTGGACAAGCCAAGGCCAGGTAGCTGAGTTTAAAATTTTAAATAACACATATAAGATGAAGATAGAAGTTGACCGGTCCGGATATGTGAAAACTGTTCTTTTTATAATGGGTTTTGTGATAATAGTGTGGATTGAACGATTTTTTTAGTTGGTCATTTGTATGAACAATCTAATTTTAAAATCAGTTTAGTTTAGGTACCGATTCGACAGTTGTCCGGAATAACTCATCGGGTCTAATCGAGTTTTAAAACACTGAAATGAATAACTAAATGGAACTATTGCATTAGCAGCTGTCCTTGGAATAAAATGAAACAGAAAAATAGCTACAGCAGTGATGACAAAAGATATTACAGAGTGGTGCAAAAATAAAATATTATAAACTAAAATAGTGGAGAGGAAGACTCTACTATGGTGCTTGTATGTGTGTTAATCGAGCGATCTCTCTTCGTTTACATGTGCCTATGTATATATAGGCAATGGTGTATAACAGTTGAATCCATTTTTTTCGGGCACTAACGTTCGTGGTCTTTCTCTTCAACGTCTAGTAATGTGCGTTGAAAATTTTTACAATTGGTGGCTTCATGATGTCATGTCTGCCACATCTCTTCGTATTACAATGTTTCTGGATATAATTACTCACAATCGCCTTATCTTACTTGGAGCTTGATGAGTGCTCGAAAATGTATTTTAAATACCCTATTATTGGATTAAAATACTAAAATGTGAGTAGAAATAATTAGATATAGTTTATATTATTGAATTTAATACCTATTCACACTGAGATATATTTGGACAAGATTTTTATAATATTTTAAATCTTAAATATTGCATTATTGGTTAGTGAGAAATAATTTATAAATGGGCTTTATAATTAATATTTTTGAAACTTTATTATTCAATTTTTATATTTGTTTTTATTGCAGTTATATGGAATAAAAAGGCTGAAACTGATATATCTTTCACGTGGGTCTAGCACTCATAATTTTTATTGGGTTTTATCTTTCTTAAATTATACAAGAGTTGGGCTTTAGGGGCTGAAACAGAAAAGCTAAAATAAATAGGGACTAAAGTGAAAAGGGCTAGAATAAAGAAAAGAAAAAAATATAATTTTCAAAAAAGAGTTCGACTTTAAAACCTATTCTTGTTCTTTGATACTGGGCGGCTGTGATTTTCTTCTTTTCCGGATGCTGGGCGGCTGGCCTTTTATTTTTTGCTTTGTGTTGTGGCGGCTAGAATAAAACACAGAAGGCAGGCGGCTTTCTTGGGGGAGCAGACGCAGATCGGGGAGCAGAAATAATTCCGATGCCTGCTGGTTTATTTTATTTTTTTGAGAGATTTTTGTTGTTCATCATATTTATGGGTAACTAAATTTTTAAGTAAGGCGAGGGATAAACTTGCATAGTAGATAATATTTTATTTATTTTTAATTTATGCATTCAATTTTCAATTACTAAGACTCTTTTATTTTATCATTTTACAATTTATTGTTGATGTTTTCTTCTTCGAATAATCATAGAATTTATTCTGTTTATGAATTCAGTTATGCTTTTTTCTATTGAATGGTTTAGCTCTTGATTATGTTTGGACTAATTATTTATCTATATTGACTTAATTCTTTGCTGCAATATTACTTCTTCAGTATATTATCGTCGTTGCATTTTCTCAATAGTGATAATAATTTACGTATTTTAAAAGTGGTAAATGATTTTTCAAAGGGTTACATTGAGTTTAATCTTGGTTTATAAATCTATATCTTTTGGTTGAGAATTTTGGGAATTAAATTCTCAACTGAGTTATTCAATGAATTAAGAATAATTAAAATACCAGATTTGTGCAATAGATTCCCGACACTTTACTATTTGTCAAATTTGATACGTTTCTTGTTAGTCACTTTGCTTTACTTTAATTTGCATTTAAAATTAATCTTTGTTCTCTAGTAACCATTTAATATTTTTATTTAGTTTTTTTTGTTCCTTCTACTATTCTTTTAATTTGTCTCTGTATGGAATCGATACTCCAAAACTGTGCTACGACTGCCGCGTTATTCTTTGGGCGTAATCAGAGCTTCTCTGACTAAAATCCATCCATTAGATCTTGACAGGTGTCATTCTCAGATTTCTTAATATTTAGGCGTAAACAATTTGACATTTGCACACACTTTTCATCTTTTCGTATCCTAACATTAAGTTTTTTGCTATATTACAAAATTATCCCTCTAACATTTTTTGAGATCTCTGTATGAACCAAGGGTATTGATGAGTCCGAAATTAATTGGGTCAAGCCCGATAAAAATGAGTCAAGAGAGCCTAGAAAAGAGCCTAAGTCATCGAAGTTCAATCGGAGCTGGGTCAACCCATTATGAGGGACTCCNTTGGCTTGGTGTTGCATTGTTCTGTTTTGACTGGAATGGTGTTGTGTTATGCTGTAGGGCTTCTTTTTCTCCTTTGTGCTGTGCTGTGCACTGTTTACGTGAACAGTCTACCTGTTGCTGCTGATGCCTTCTATTCTGCTATTTTTTGGATTTTGTCTGGTATGGAGCTGATCCTTTGCTGGTTTACCATTTCATTTCAGCTGGATTCACAGCTAGAATTCAGTTGCTCTCTTTTGCCTCTCCCTTTTCTTCTTTGCCACTTTTCTGGCTTACTTTGCTAGGCTGATGCTGATGGATTTTCAACGACTCTCCTCAGCTGCTGGCTCTTAGTTGCTGCTTCCCTGCTGGACTTTAGCTGGATTTCAGCTTTATCTCATGGTTTTTGGTGCTTTTGGCTGGTCCTGCTTGTTGTCTTTGTTGGACAGTCATTGCAATGTTCATTTATGGTGCCCGAATCAGCCTAGCAAATGAATTGGAACTTTTACGTTATTGTTTTGGTGAGTGAAGCACATTCTCTTTGCAATATTGATTGACATAGGGAATTAAGGAGCATTCTTTTTACTCTCTAGTCATTTAGTTCAGACATAAGCTTCATGGTGAGGTAATAGAGTTAATTTTCCTTTTACTATAGGAGCCTCACTTACTGCAACGTGGTTTTGGAGATATTTTCTGCATGTTTGTTCTGATAGATAAAAGGAGTTGAAGAATATTAGTATTTATACTCAATTCCTTGAGCATTGATATACGAGTTATAAGATTTCTCTCTTGCCTATAAGATAAAAGGAGTTGAAGTATATTAGTTATTTATGCTCTTACCTTGAGCATTGATATACGAGTTATTTATGCTCAAATCCTTCTTAACATTTCTCTCTTGCCCTATTGATAGGGATCTTCTGATCAATGCAATTATTGAACTTCAGAGGTATTAGTTCACAACAAGGACCAGATTAAAAAGCTCTTGAATTAGCCATGATAAACTGGAGTTCTCTACATTAATCTGTCATAAATAAAGAGGCTCCAAGCAATGTCACTGTTGATTTAAACTACTCATGGTACTGATTTGTTGAGCTTGGAGATGATATTTCAAGGCATGGAGCTGGACTGCTGAAGGTGTTCAAGTTTAAGAGATATTAAATGTAATTAGAGATGGTTTAAATCCTCTTGAAGGATTAAAACCATTTTTTTTATTTTTAGAACTTCATGTTCTTTGATTCTTGTAATTCATTTTTTTTGAAATAAAATTTTATTTTTTTTAAAAAAAGTGCGAAATGTATTAATTGTATTAGTTTTTTATTAAACACAGGTATTAATGGTGTACAGGTGAAAAATTTTATTGGAATATTATTTTTATGAATTATTTTTTTTTAAAAAAGAACATTTTTGCGACAAAATTAAAATCGTCGCAGAACATTGTTATTCAATTATTTTTTACGTAAAAATTATTAGCGACGATTTTTTTACGTCGCGAAAAAATAATTAAATTATCATTTTTAATATTTTGTATTTATCTAAAATATCATTCGCGACGATTTTTTTACGTCACGAAAAATTAATTAAATTATTATTTTTTATTTTCTTACGCTGGTGGAATATATTTTAGCTACGTTTTTTTACTTTTAGCGACTTTTTTTTTTCGTCGTAAATTAATTTTTTTTGCGATGAAAATAAATTTGCGTCGCAAAATACTTTCTGAAACGAGGCTATTGCGACGAACACGCGACGAAAAGAAAACGTCGCAAAAAATAATTGACGACGATTTTTTTTAATTTGGCGACGAAAAAAATCGTTGCAAAAAATAATTTTTGTTGTAGTGAGCTTATCTTATGAGTTTTGTTGCGATTCAATGAATTGAGTGTTGTAGTAGAGCAATGCTATGTTGCACA